TGTTCTGTTCTATTCTATTCTATTTTTTATTCTATTCTATCCTTATTCCATTCCATTCCCTATTATTCTATTCTATTCTATTTTTATTCTATTCTATTTTTTATTCTATCCTTATTTTCTATTCTATTTTTTATTCTATCCTTATTTTCTATTCTATTCTATCCTTATTCTCTATTCTATTCTATTTTTTATTCTATCCTTATTTTCTATTCTGTTCTGTTCTATTCTATTTTTTATTCTATTCTATCCTTATTCCATTCCATTCTGTTCCCTATTCCCTATTATTCTATTGCAGAGGTCTCCAAACTTGGCAACTTTAAGACTTCTGGATTTCAACTCCCAGAATTCTGGGAGCTGAAGTCCACAAGTCTTAAAATTGCCAAGTTTGGGGACTTCTATTCTATTCTCTATTATTCTATTCTATTATTCTATTTCTTATTCTATTCTATCCTTACTTTCTATTCTTTTCTATCTTTATTCCATTCTATTCCCTATTCTATTCCCTATTCTATTCCCTATTCTATTCTATTCTATTCTATTCTATTCTATTCTTTATTCTATTCTATTCTTTGTCAGTTGCCTTTCGGAGAAGCACCTTCGGGACGTGTCAAAACTTTGCATTCAGTGTCACGTGGCAGCCATGTTAAATTTTGGGGGAAGGCCAGAACACGCTTTGGGGTGTGCCAGAAGGGGTCATAAAAAAAGGGTGGGGGAACTCATCAGGCTAACTTTCTAGATGCACTTCCAGTCCTTCCCCCCTCCCCAAATGATATAAGAAGAAACTGAGCCCGTTTGACTCCTTTAAATAATATCCAGAAGGGCAATTTTAAATGGCTTTCTGGAGATCTTGCAGCCAGAGAGAGAAAAATTACATCTTTGGGGTTTTTTATTTATTTATTTTTAAAACTAAAATACCATGGTTTCTGGGCTGGGGGGCTGGGGAAGGAGACAGAAACTCTGAAGCAAAAGGCAGCTGGAGGAGATTATGAATAAATACATTGAAAGGAGTCGAGACCAGCAATGGTCTTAATGGATGCAGGTAAATTTTATAGATATAGAGATAGAGATAGATAGATAGATATAGATATAGATATATTCTGATTTATTCAGTACAGAGTTTAAAGTAGAAAGAAAGGGAAAATATGTGCTTCAGCTTAAATACAGGTAGTCCTCAATTCACGACCACAATGGAGCCCAGAATTTATGTTGCTAAGTGAGAAATGTGTTAAGTGAGTCTTGCTCCAATTTATGACTTTTCTTGCCACTGTTGTTAACTGAATCACTGCAGTTTGTTAATTGAGTAACACGGTTGTTAAGTGAATCTGGCTTCCCCATTGACTTGGCTTGTCAGATACGGTCGCAAAAGGGGATCGCATGACCCCGGGACGCTGCAACCATCCATCATACATGTGAATCAATTGTCAAGCATCCAAATGTAAGTCACGTGGCCCGGGGGCTGCTGCAACGGTCGTAAGTGTAAACAACGGTCATAAACCACTTTTTCCGGGGTCATAACTTTGAACCTTCACTAAGCGAACTGTCATAAGTGGAGGATGATCTGTACTGGTAAAATTCATCACTCATTCTAATTGGGGGAGGGCTTGGTTGGTTTTGACACCCCCCACATCAGCTTGTCCACTGGGAGAGGGGAGTCAAAAAAAGGTCACAAGAATGGTCATGAATGCAAATCTTTGATGGATTTGAGAAGATGGAAAATGGTCATAAGTCCCTTGTTTCATTACTGTTATAATTTCGAATGGTCGTTAAATGAACTGTTGTAAGACGGCGTGTCAACTCATAAAATATTTATCTGGTCTTTTAGAGTTGCCAACAGAAAGGGAGAGGGGAATATCATAATTGCAAAATCGAAACTGCATTCCATAAATGTTTTCAAAGATAGTTTCCAAGCAACCAAAGTTTCTGCTGTGCAAAATTCTAACTGGACAGCATGATTGATGACTCTTGGCTATGGAGGTGTCCCATTGGAGAATATGAATTATGATACACCCAGGGGGTTGGGGAAAACCAGGGTCAAGGGTGACAAGGAATGATGTGTCTCCGAGTCGGCTGCACCCAGGCAGCACCGGCATGTCTACTCCTAATAAATCTTCTTTAAGCTTTGAAAATCTGGCTAGAGACTCATGATTTAAATGGGGGAAACCACCGGAGCCCTGACACAGGGATTATTTCTACCCAGCCCACAGTTGCAAAGTGGGCCATCACAATGGCCAACCCTGAAACAGTCAAAACAACGTTGGATGAACGTATAACAAAGGTGGAATTAACCGAAGCAATAAAGAGAAGTGGCCTGGGTGGGCTACCAGCAGAACTATACAAAAACTTACAAAATGATCTAAGTACTTCAATGTTGGGTGTATTTAATGAACTGTCATCAGAAGCAAAAGTACCAAATTCGTGGACAGAGGCATATATTACTCTCATACCAAAAGAAGACTCAGATTTGCAGCAGATAAAAAAAAACTACAGACCGATTTTGCTATTGAATGCTGATTATAAAATATCTGCTTCAATAATTGTGAAAAGATTAAGAAGATTTCCAAATCAATTTATCCATTCAGATCAAAATGTTTTTTTTAACCTGAGACCAATTAAAGAGAATAGGAAAATAATTTTTAACACATTGGAATATTACGAAGCACGCACAGAAAGCATTTGATAATGTGAACTGACAATTCATGTCAACACAATTAAAAGACATGGACTTTTGGGAGAGATTTATTAACATGGTGAAGGTGATATAAACAGTGGCCAACCCAATTTTACAATATATATTTTTTGCTGTGTTAAATTAATCACTCTGGTCATTAAGTGAATCTGTGGTCCTTCAGATATGAAGTCCGCACATCTTAAGTTAGTTTGAGAAACAGTGAGCTGGCTTATCGCTGTGGGCATACGATTGGCTGACGTCGTCCCATTTTCTTCCATTCTCGAATGGGAAACAGAGTTCAGACACATATGTTTTGAGGGGAAAATATATTTTCAGCCTTTGTCAAGGTTGATGGTTCCAAAGATGCATCTTAGCTACTAACCTGCATGAGTTCTGGAGTCCCAAAGGTGCTTTTTTAAAGAGACAACTGGACTTTCTGGTTTTTCTTTGAAGATGTTTTGCTTCTCATCCAAGAAGCTTCTTCAGCTCTGACTGGATGTGAGGAGCGGAAGGATTTATACTCCTTGCAGACAGCTGGTCATTTGCATCCTCTTAGAGGGTCATTGAGGCCACTTGGAGGTTTCTCGAAGCTGGTAATTGTACAGATTGAGTTTCTCTCTCCCTCTTCTCTCCTCTCCCTCTCTCTCTTTCTCTCTCTTCTCCTCCTCCTCAGGTCATGTGCTTTTCCAGGTTTTTCTTTCAAAACGTTTCGCTTCTCATCCAAGAAGCTTCTTCAGTTCTGACTGGATGGTGGGGAATGGAAGGATTTAGACTCCTTTGCAGACAGCTGGTCATTTGCATCCTTTGAGAGAGCCATTGAGGCCACTTGGAGGTTTGTCTGTGTCCTCAGGGTCACCAGAGTAGTGCAAATGGTTCCTGTAGTTTGCAGTTGTTGTTTTTCTGGAAATCCATTCCCCCGCACCATTTGAAGGGTGTTCATCCCAAATTGCATAGCTAAACATCTGGAGATCTATACAGCCTTTGAATGGTGTGGAAGAATGAATGGATTTCCGGGGGGGGGGGGGGGACACTGCAGACAACAGGAACCAGGAGCACCACCCAGGTGACCCTGAGGACACAGATAAATCTCCAAGTAGCCTCAATGACCCTCCAAAAGGATGCAAATGACCAGCTGTCTGCAAGGAGCATTAAATCCTTCCATTCCCCACCATCCAGTCAGAGCTGAAGAAGTTTCTTGGATGAGAAGAGAAATGTCTTCAAAGAAAAACCTGAAACAGCAAATGACCTGAGAACACAGATAAACTCCCAAGTGGCCTCTAAAACAAGGGTCTTCAAACTTGGCAACTTGAAGACTTGTGGACTTCAACTCCCAGAATTCCTGAGCTAACATGACTGGAGGAGGAATTCCGGGAGTTGAAGTCCACAAGTCTTCAAGTTGCCAAGTTTGAAGACCCCTGCTCTAAAAGGATGCAAATGACCGGCTGTCTGCAAGGAGCATAAATCCTTCCGTTCCTCACCATCCAATCAGAGCTGAAGAAGCTTCTGGGATGAGAAGCGAAATGTCTTTGAAGAAAAACAAGAAAGTCCAGTTGCCTCTTGAAAAAAAAGCCACCTTTGGGATAACCATGACTTGGATGTCTTGAGAATATCTACAGATGAGTTCTGGAGAAAGATTTGGACCATCTGCAGCTCGGTGTATCGTGATGGAAGCTCTTAAGCACGCAATGTAAATAGTTCTATTCTGGCAAGCTATGATGTGGGGGAAAGTGTGATTAAGGCGTGCTGGCTGTTATTACAGGTTGCGGTTTCTAATCTAACATTCACATTTATTTTTAGAAGATTTATTAAGCCTTAGCTGAGCCACGTTTTGCTTCAAAAAGCGGGAGGTCAGCTGAGGCACCTTGGAGCAGCCATGAGATCTTGGCTGATTTCCTTAAGAAACCAAAGCAAGTTCCCAAAGGGATGTTTTGTTTTTTTGTTTCTCAAAAAGGCAACTGGACTTTCTTGGGATTTATTTTTTTTTCCTTGAAAACATTTTGATCCTCATCCAAGAAGCTTCTTCAGTTCTGGCTGAATGGTGGAGGATGGAAGGATTGATACTCTTTGCAGACAGCTGGTCATTTGCATCCTTTTAAAGAGTCGTTGAGGCCACTTGGAGGTTTATCTGTCTCCTCAGGATCACCTGAATCAGAGTGCAAACGGGCGTAGAGCCTTCTTGGTACAGCTGAAAAGGATTACATCACCCTAATAAATTGATGATAAATGAAATGATCGGGTGGCAGAAGTCTGCTAAAGCAATCCCTCAACTTATCTAATGTCTGTGTTGTTTTTATTTCTCCCCTGTCTCCCCTCCCCTCCCCGGTGGCCACAGGTCCTCCACAGTTCATCAAGCACCCCATGGACCAGATCGGGGTGTCGGGAGGAGTGGCGTCCTTCGTGTGCCAAGCGACAGGAGACCCCAAACCCCGCGTCACCTGGAACAAGAAGGGAAAGAAAGTGAACTCACAGCGGTTTGAGGTAAGATAACAGAATGATCGGGTTGGTGGGGTCTTAGAGGTCTTCTAGCCAGGGGTGGGATTCAGATTTTTTAAACAACCAGTTCTGTGGGCGTGGCTTAATTCGTGGGCATGGCTTGGTGGTCATGTGACTGGGTGGACGTGGCTTGGTGGTCATGTGACTGGGTGGACGTGGCTTGGTGGTCATGTTATTGACTGGGCATGGCCAACTCAATATCACTCACATCGAGGCACGCATCTCCTCACCTGGCCTCTCATGACTGTGGGGATGCTGCAACAGTCGTTAAGTGTGAAAAAGGGTCATAAGTCACTTTTTTCAGTGCCATTGTAACTTTGAATGGTCACTCCACACAAGCAAAGTACCAGCAAAGGAGGGGGAAAAAAAACTCCAGAGAAGTTCCTGAGACAGGAAGTCTAGTCCTGCCAAGAATGTAATAAGGGTTAACGGAGAGGCAGTTTCCGTAAGCAACACCAGAATGTTTCCTTCCTGCCTTCCTTACAGGATTAGGCCAGTAATTTCTTCTAACAACCGGTTCTCTGAACTGCTTAGAATGTTAACAACCGGTTCTAGCGAATAGGTGCGAACTGGTAGAATCCCACCCCTGCTTCTAGCCCAACCCCCTGCTCAAAACAGGAGAACCTATACCCGTGATGGCGGACCTATGGCACGCGTGCCACCGGTGACACGCAGAGCCCTCTTTGCGGGCATGCGAGCCGTTGCCCCAGCTCAGGTCCAACATGCATGCGTGCAACCCTCCCGTCAGCCACCTAATTTTCAGGTGTCCTGCCGCATATGCGCGGGGGCCGGGGAGCACAGGGGTGCGGGGCAGGCTCCCTGTGTCCCGTTTTGGGCCTAGTAGGCCTCCATGCAGCCTCCTGGGAGCAAAAACGGGCCACGGGGGGATGCATCTCCCAGAACCCTGTTTTTGCTCCCAGGAGGCTTCAGGCTGGCCTACTAGGCCCAAAACAGGGCACGGGGTGTGTGTGTGTGTTGAGGCGTGCATGCACAGGGGGAGCATGGGGGAGTCACGTGCCCATGTACAGGGTGGCAGGGCGAGTGGGAGGGGGTCATGCGTGCATTGCAGGCACGCACGCACTTTCGGCACGTGACGACAAAAAGGTTAGCCATCACTGTCCTATACCATTACAGATAAATGGTGGTCCAATCTCTTCTTAAAAACTTCCGGTAATGGAGAACCCACAACTTCTGGTGGCAAGTTGTTCCACGGGTTAATTGTCCTCATCTGCCCCTCTCCCCCCACCCATCCCCAAAAAAGCCGGAGGGAGATTCTGGAAGAATTCCAAAAAAAGAAAGAAAAAAAGAGATCAGAGAATCTAGTCCCTTTTCACAGCCGGCCGCGGCTTCTGGTTCCGCGGACTTTTAGTTTTACCAATACCGGTTTTCATAAAATAAAATCCCTACCTCACCAAACCCACTGTCATGAAGTTGGCTGGATGCAAAACTACAATTGTCCTCAACTTATGACCAACGTGAAGACCAGAATCTCTGTCACTCAGCGATGCGGTCATTAAGTGAGTCAGCAAGGGACCGTGCCCAATTTCATGAAGTATTTTGCTGGGCTTATGAAATGAACCTGGCTTTCCGGACACACAGCTCTGGAAGTTGGTCTGTTGCAAAGATTGTGGTTTTTTACACACACACATGTTCCTGGGAAGCTGATCCATTGAAAAATTTGTGAATTTTTTTTTTTATGCACACTTGCACACATTCCTTGAAAATTAGCTGTATGGAAAGAGGGATGGATAAATAGACATATATACACTCAGCTCTGGAAAACCGGTCTGTTGCAACAATTGTGGTAGTTTTTATACACACACACACATACACACACGTTCCTGGGAAGCTCATCCGTTGCAAACATTGTGGTTTTTTAAAATGCACACTTACACACATTCCTTGGAAATTAGTTGTATGGTGGTTTTTATACACACACACACGCACATACACACACACACACGTTCCTGAGAATCTGATCTGTTGCAGAGATTGTGATGGCTTTTACACACACACACACACACACACACACACACACACACACACACACGTACATTCCTGGGAAGCTGATCCATTGCAAAGATGGTGGAATTTTTTGTTTATGCACACTTACACACATTTCTTGGAAACGAGCTGTGTGCAAAGAGGGATGGATAAACAGACACACATACACACTGGGAAGTTGGTCTGTGGCAAAGATTGTGGTGGCTTTTATACACCCACACCCACAAACATACCCACAGACAGACACAGAGACCCAGGACAATGGCTGTGTGCGAAGAGTGGGTGGATGGATGGATCTCCTCTTTAATTAATTAAATGGAATTAATTTCCTTCCTCTCTTTCTCTCCCCGATCCAGACCATTGAATACGACGATGGTGCCGGAGCGGTCTTGAGGATACAACCCCTCCGGACGCCCCGAGACGAAAACATTTACGAATGCGTTGCCCAAAATTCGGTGGCGGAGATCACGGTCAATGCCAAACTGACCGTTCTGAGAGGTAAACAAAAAAAAAAACAACCCTTTGAATGAATAAGTCTTCATGTGTCTGGCAGGTGCCCTTCGGAGGTTGAAAACTTCGCTTCTTAATCTGAAATTACTTCAAAATGCAAACGATCAGACTCAATGCTGCTATTTAAAACCAGCATAATCAGGGCTGGTGTGAAGAGGTGCCCACTTTATGCCTGTGGAAAACTGCCATGTTTTCCCGAAAATAAGATCGAGTCTTATATTAATTTTTGCTCCAAGAGAGGCATTAGAACTTATTTTCCGGTTAGGTCTTATTATCAACTCATAAAATATTTCTATGGCCGTTTTATACTTGCCAACAGAAAGGGAGGGGGGGGAGAAAGGGGTTTGAAAGAGCAGTGCGGCAGCTTGGAAACTGAAAGTGCATTCCATGCATAGTTTTTCAGAGATTGGAGGGAGGTGACTGAAGTTTCTTCCACGCAAAAATCTTACTTGGAGACCATGATTTCATCACTCTTGGCTATGGATGTGTCCCGTTGGAGAATATGAATTACGATACACCCAGAGGGGTGGGGGAAAACCATGGTCAAGGCTGACAATGACAATGAATGATGTGTCTCAGAGTCAGCTGCACCCAGGCAGTGCCGGACCTGTTAACTCCCAATCAATCCTTTGGAAGTCTGGCTCGAGACTCATGATTTCATTGGGGTAACTGCTGGAATCCTGACACTTATTTTCAGGGAAAATACAGTTCCAGATGTATCCGTCTGTCTGACAATCTTAACTGGGGTTTATTTTGGAGCAGGGCTTATATTACGAGCATCCTGAAAAAAAAATCATGCTAGGGCTTATTTTCTGGTTAGGTTTTATTTTCAGGGAAACAGGGTAGCTGTGGTTTACATCAGAGTAAATATTTATATGTTTGCAGCTCAGAATGGGGTACGGTAGACATGTATTTTGATGTAGGTTTGTCTGTGGCTGGAATCTACTTTAAAAGTTATAGTTTGCCATTACGATCTGCTCCTCCCTTTTTTCTGACCGGGGGGGGGGGGGGGGAGATAGAATAGTAAATTTGCACCGCTGAATTTTATATCAAATTGCTGCCATCAGATACCAACCAAGATAAAACAAGGGGTGTCTACATTTTTTTGTTGTGTTTCTCCAGCTTGGCCACTTTTAAGATATCCCAAAGTTGGAAGGGACTTTGAAAAGCATAAAATCATAGACTCCTAAGGTTGGAAGGAACCTTGGTGGTCCTAGAATCATAGACTCCTGATATTGGATGGGACCTTGCAGGCCATAGAATTGTAGATCCCTAAAGATGGAAGGGGCCTTAGAGGTTGTATAATCATAGACTCCTAGGATTGGAAAGGACCTTGGAGGTCATAGAAACATAGATTTCTAGGGTTAGCAGAGATGTTGGAGGCCACACAATCATAGAGTCCTGTGGTTGGAAGGGACATTGGAAGCCATAGAAACAGTTTTCTAGGGTTGGAAGGGACCTTGGAGGTCAGATAATCATAGACTCCTAGGTTGGAAAGGACCATGAAGGTCATAGAAACATAGATTTCTAGGGTTAGAAGAGATGTTGGAGGCCACACAATCATTGAGTCCTATGGTTGGAAGGGACATTGGAAGCCATAGAAACAGATTTCTAGGGTTTGGACAGGACCTTGGAGGTCAGATAATCATAGATTCAAAGGGCTGGAAAGTACTGTGGAGGTCATAGAAACAGATTCCTAGGGCTGGAAAGGACTATGGAGGTCATAGAAACAGATTTCTAGGGTTAGAAGGGACCTTGGAGGTCATAGAAACAGATTTCTAGGGTTAGAAGGGACCTTGGAGGTCATAGAAACAAACTTTCTAGGGTTGGAAGGGACCTTGGAAGTCAGATAATCATGAGAGGGAGAGGAGGTGAGGAGAGAGAGAGAGACAGAGAGGGAGACAGATGGGCTCGCTGGCTTTGCTGGCTGAGGAATTCTGGGAGTTGAAGTCCACAAGTCTTCAAGTGGCCAAGGTTGGAGACCCCTGATCCTAGCCCACCATCTTTCTCTCTGTCAGGCTCTTTTCATTGCATCCCCCACTCGAAGTGGGTGAGGGTCAGCAACCCACTGAGCCTTCCTCCCCTGTCCCACCCTCCCCGTCTCCCTGCTACTGGCCCCCCCCCCCCCCCCCCCCCCCCCCCCCCCCCCCCCCCCCGCAATTTTTTTGCATTCCTTCTACCAACGCGTGTCAAGGCAAGGAACGGTTTTTGATCGGGTGAGCCCCGCTGTTTTCCGCTCTTTTCCACAGACGCCCCTGCTTTATGCCCAAAACCGCCGTGCTTGTCGCTCCTTCCCACTCATGCCCAGAAGGTGCGATCCGGGCTATGTAAAGATCTGTATGTGTGGAAGGATGGCAATCTGGGTTTCGAAGCATCATCGCTCTCGCACGTCGCCTGCGTCTCCAGCTACCTCCCACACCTGATATTCCCGCACACGGGGGCTTCCTGGTTCCGCGAGTTCACTTCACGTTCCAGGTGGCAGAAGGAGGAGAGGCACTGCATCAATGTTGCGGTGTCCCCCACCCACTGCGGGGTGGCAGCTAAAAAGACCAAAGGAGCCCTGACACGGGGTGGGGGGGAGAACAGGACAAAAACCCCATTTTTTTGTCCTGAAATCCCTGGTTTCTTTCACCCATACTTCGCCATTATTATTTTATAAGTAATTCAAAGGGGTGAATGTAGTGAATACTCTCCTTCCTCTTCCAATTTTCCGCATAACAACCCCCCTGTGAGGTGGGTTGAACTGAGAGAGAATGCTGGTCCAAAGTCACGCAGCTGGCTTTCACGCCTAAGGCGGGACTAGAACTCACCATCTCCTGGTGATTGGCCCAGACTCACCCAGCTGGCTTTCATGGCTGAGGCAGGACTAGAACTCACCGTCTCCTGGTGATTGG